AAGTTCAGATTTTCAAATATCTGCATTAATTATCGCAATTCTAGAAGTGGTGGGTAGTTGGATACTTTCAGATTTTGTTGAAATCAACAAATAATAAGAGACAAGAAGTGACAACAGAAAGACGATATTATTTTCAAGCCCAATGTCATAGGCATCATATAAAGATCTGTATAAATTCGATGTTCAGATGACTCACTTTTCTTTTTCCCAATTTCAAACACCTCGAATACAGCCCGTTTGGAGTTCCTATTCAAGTCACTACAAAAGAAAAACATAGTAAGAATTAAGATCATGAGAATTAAGCGCGTACAGAGACTCCTTGGTAAGACAGACTTAAATAATCAAAAGGCAGTAAACGGTTGCTATCATGACAAATATTACTCTTTCGGCTGAAGGAAATACACTGTGAGAGCTAAGCAAGATGAATCTAAATGAGCCTTAAAACAGGAAAAATCGCAAATTCCTAGTAAAGCAGTGAGGACTTCTCGTGAGCAAGAGGCGATGATGTTGGCTAGCTCAGCTCTAGGGCCTAATTGGATCCCTTGGCCAGGTTATTAAGGGATATTTCTAAGTAAAAAGAAAAGTGCCAGAGACTCTCCCCAAAAAGACTAAGAATTCATTTTGACACGAAATATCAGAATTATTTCACATCCGTGAGCATATCGGCATTCACAAGTGAATATAAACATAGAATGGACCTCGTCAAGCTGCGAAGGGGGTATTTTCGGGCGCACTTCTTCGTGTTCAAGGTATGAAGAGTTCTCTATAGTTTGACTAAAAAGTTTGATATTGAACAGATCTGATTGAGTAAAGCCGAAAAAAACTGGTGGCAAGCAAGGCTCTCAGAATAGACAATTTATGTTAATTCTACAGCAATTGCAGAAAGCGGTAGATACTGATACGCTCCTTTAATACGATCCAATGAAGAAGATATTCGTCTCTTTTCACCCCGCACCTACTCTATCAACTTGCCTAGTCTGGTACGCCAGCTCAAAAGAGCTGGTGTTTATCAGATATTGACGCCAGAAATGCAGGGCTGCTTGATCTGCTTAACAATAAAGTGTTCGCATCCTAAACAAAGTTGTTATCAATTGAATATAGAGGCGCCACATGATCCATCAGCGAGTGTAAAAGTAAACTTACACAAAAATATCGAGAAGTTAAAGTCATGGAAAGGCTTGTACAGAATATAATAAGTTTCATAATGCTCTCTCTATTTATCACGTTCAGATATGCAGGCAAGTGTGGAAATTTAGCAAGCTCCGATGTCATCAGGGCAAGATTACAAAACACCCTTGTTTAAAGTACCTACATAAAAAGAGTAAGAAAACTAACAGGTCAACATTCCCTATATGTTCACTCGGTTTGCAAGTGTGCAAGAGGCTATAAATATCTACTCACAAGAGGAGATGCTGATCCCAGAAGAGTTGGGCCCCATAGGCCACCACGTGCGTAGTGTGCCGTTGGTAGGGCTCATCGAGTTCTACCACACAGTAGGCATTCGAAGCACCTGTAAGAACAGAGAAGCGAATCCGAACACAGCGAAGCAAGCGAACCGGCATGAGAGAAAAGAAGACAAAGAGACAAAGGTGAGAAAGCCAAAAGGGAGGAAGGATAAAAAGGTTACGAATATCAAATAATACTAATAGAAATTGAATTGTCAAATAGAAGAAAGATAATTCTATTAGGCTAGTTAATTGTGTTGTAATGTAGATTTGATACAGAAACAAGCATCGAATTTCGCTTCATTGTGACAACTCTTCGAGTGGCACGAGACGACAACAGCTCTGTCT